TTGAAAGACATCTTTCAATGGTTCTGAAATCACGTCTGCCAGTTCCTTCAGAACTCTGGTATGTAGTCCATCAGGACCTGTCAGTAGACATGTCTAACATAAACCTTGGGTAACTTCAGGAATATTTCAAAGATCTTAGCCTTAACGTTGGCCATTAAAAGCAGTGGTTCAGCAGCCAACATTGACACATAGATTAGTTGATGTTTTCCAGAGGTGGTATTCAGCCGGTTTGGACCAGTTCTAGCGAACCAGTAGCGGAAATTTGGAGTAGTTTGGAGAACCGGCAAATACCACCTCTGGCTGGCCCCACCTCTCTGTCCCTGTTGTTCCCTGTTTTATATTCCCTTGTTTTTTTTTAGCTCAGCTGATTCACACGGCAGAGCAGATTGCCGTGCCTCAGCTGAGTTAAAAAACAGCTCAGCTCACCAGCGCTGACACCGAGGGCGGTCTGTGAGTGCAAAGAGCGCTGTCATGGAACCGGTAGAAAAAGATTTGGAATCCCACCACTGATGTTTTGTCTTAGTCCCCAGAGGAGAATGGTATTGATTTACCACAAAGTCACCTGTATCAGCATCATTCCAGGGCTGAGGGATTCCTTTTGAAAAGGGTCAAGCTCTCTTTTTGAATTGGGGGACCATGCAGAGTATCAGAGAAGGAACAAGGAGTCAGGCCCACCATGGTTAACTTGATGAAGACTAGCCAGCAAAGAATAGCAGCCACTTTCACAAGTGGCTATGTGGTAGGGCCCGAGCAAAGGACATAGGGCAGGAGATCTGGTTGGTAAAGAGTCATTTGTTGGCTCCCTTGTAAAAATGAATTCAGCAGGTCAATTGATTGACATTGAAATAATCCTCTGCTTTTGGACAAGTTGAAATATGCTATAAAATGTTTCCATCTAAGCAATAGAGAGAGATTGCTTCTCTGTTTTTCTCAATTATGCCTCTGAGCAAAGCAACAACTACAATAAGAAAAAAGAAAAGATTTTTGGTCAAGGTGTGCCAAATCCTGCATTTAATTGATGGAGAAAAGGACACGTCTCTCTTAAGATGTGTTGTCTTAAGCTCAGCTATAACTGGAAGTACATCCAGAAAGTACATTAAAATAGCTCTTCAAAGGTCTTGCATTATTTTCAAGCTAAGATTCTTCCTATGTGTGTGTGTATGTATATATATATATATATATATGTATATATATATATATATGTTTTCTCAGGTTTTCGCGGGTGTTTGTATGTAGGTCTTTGGTTATTCGGGTCTTCTCCCACGTAAAATTATTCTTTTTAAGCATTGTTTCATAGTGGTTTTCCATCTAATACTGTTGTTTAAGTTTGCTCCTGGAAGCACGAAGCCGAGAACACCAGCCTGAAGATGACGAATGAGACTTCGTCGAAACGTCGCCAAGACACTTCCAATTTTACGTGGGAGAAGACCCGAATAACCAAAGACCTACATATATATATATATATGTAGGTCATATATATATATATATATGTAGGTCTTTGGTTATTCGGGTCTTCTCCCACGTAAAATTGGAAGTGTCTTGGCGACGTTTCGACGAAGTCTCATTCGTCATCTTCAGGCTGGTGTTCTCGGCTTCGTGCTTCCAGGAGCAATGTGAGATCGCAGCTGTCTCTTCCTTTTAACTGCTAGTGGGGGTGTGAGCTGATTGGATGGGAACTTGGCTGTGTTCTGATTGGGTGGAGGTGTGTTCTGATTGGTTAGGGGCTTGGCTGTGCTCTGATTGGATGGGGAGTTGGTTGTGCTCTGATTGGCTGGGGGTGTGTTCTGTTTGGGTGGGGGCTTGGTTGTGCTCAGCTTAGTCTTCTCAATTATCCTCCCTGTAAAGGTATAATGTATCTTTTTTCTTTTTTCGTAGGCTTTTATGTGCATATTCTTCCTAGCCAGGTTTTACCTACGTAAACTTAGAACAACTAAGAGACTCAGATAGCTATTTCTGCCTTTTAAGGCATCATCAGTGAGCCACACACCCACTTCTCAGATATCCTCCCTGTAAAGGTACAATGTGTCTTTTTCTTTTTCGTAGGCTTTTATGTGCATATTCTTTCTAGCCAGGTTTTACCTACGTAAACTAAGTTGTTCTACAGCCCTGGTTCTGTGAAATCTCATTCACAAGTTTCTGGGCCTTTTTTCTGCTGACAAACTGCAACTCTGTGTTGCTCTCTGGGAGATTCAGATAGCTATTTCTGCCTTTTAAGGCGTCATCAGTGAGCCACACCCACTTCTCAGATATCCTCCCTGTAAAGGTACAATGTGTCTTTTTCTTTTTCGTAGGCTTTTATGTGCATATTCTTTCTAGCCAGGTTTTACCTACATAAACTAAGTTGTTCTACAGCCCTGGTTCTGTGAAATCTCATTCACAAGTTTCTGGGCTTTTTTTCTGCTGAGAAACTGCAACTCTGTGTTGCTCTCTGGGAGACTCAGATAGCTATTTCTGCCTCTTAAGGCATCATCAGTGAGCCACACCCACTTCTCACTACGAAAAAGAAAAAGAAAAAGACACATTGTACCTTTACAGGGAGGATATCTGAGAAGTGGGTTTTTGAAAGTACCTTTGCAGACTTAGATGAACTCACAGAGACTGTAACATCATATGTCAGCTTCTGTGAAGACCTACGTGTACCCACCAGGAACTTGCAAATATACAGTAACAACAAACCTTGGTTCACAGCTAAACTTAAGCAGCTACGTCGTTCCAAAGAGGAAGCCTACAGAAAAGGTGATAAAATGCTGTACAATCAGGCCAGAAATGTATTAACAAGGGAGATCAGAGGAGCAAAAAGAAGCTACTCTGAAAAGCTAAGGAAACAGTTCTCAACAAATGAACCAGCAGACATTCTAACCCGACTCCAATCAAAGCCAATACTGACTTCCAGCCCCAAACCCTCCCTTTCCATTCCATTCCCCACTCCCCTGCACGCATTGGCCATCTTCCAAGTCATTCTACCCCTAATCTATTCCAGCTCAAAGGAATTTCCCCCCTCCCACCCCATCTCCTAGGGGATATTATCTCCAGGGAAAATAATTGATTGCTGATTGCTGTTTATTTGAAGTCTGACTAAAGTACGTGTATGTATATATTCTTTGTAGATAAAACCACTATTTAAATACAAACCACTGTTTACTATATTTGCTCCTGGGTTGTCTCACATAGTCACACTGTGCACAGTCTGACAGGTTGATTGTTCTCACTGTCAGAAAATGTCTTCTTATTTCCAGGTTGAATCTCTCCTTGATCAGTTTCCATCCATTATTCCTTGTCTGGCTTTTAGATGCTTTGGAAAATAGGTTAACCCCCTCCTCTCTGTAACAACCCCTCAAGTATTGGAACACTGCTATGATGTCACCCCTGGTCCTTCTCTTCACTAGACTAGCCACGCCCAGTTCCTTTAACCATTCCCCATATCTTTTAGCCTCCCATCCCCTAATCAGAGGTGGTATTTAGCCGGTTTGCACCGGTTCACGTGAACCGTTGGCAGAAATTTGGCCAAGGTCGCCGAACCGGTAGCAATGGCCAGCTGGCCACGCCCTCAAACTGGTCCCCCACTCAATGCTCACTCACCCAACCTGCCATGTTTCTCACCACCATTTTCTTCACGCACGCACATCCCATTGCCTTGCAAGTCCAATGGGATGTGCATGTGCAAAGAACATAGCAGTGAGGCAGCAGTTTTTTCCGCGACCTCTGGTACTTTTTGGTGGTCTTGCTGGCCACTTTCCAGCAGCTGGTTAGGGTTAGGGTTTTGGTCGGGGGCCGCCGAAAAATCTGTTCAGCTTGCCTTCCAGACTCTGGACCAGCCACCACAGAAGGTAAGCAGCCCCAAAAAAGAGGTGGGGGGGAGGAAAGGGGGTTAGGGCGGGGGCTGCTGAAGTTGGGGAAGCAGGGACAACTGGCGAATGGAGGGCAGGGGTAGATATGTGGAAATTCCAAAAACTTTCCTACGTTTTCATATGGGTGTGGCTAGGTGGGGGGTCATGTGACTGAGTGGGCATGGGCATGAGTGACATCAAGCTGGCCACACCCACTCAGTCACATGTCCCACTGAACCAGTAGAAAAAAATTTTAAAGTTAATTTTTAAAGTTACAATTGCTTAACGCATTGTAAGCCGCCCTGAGTCTCTGGAAAAGGGCGGCATATAAATCAAATTAAAAAAAAAAAAAAGTCCACCACTGCCCCTAATCCCTTTGTTGCTCTTCTCTGCACTTTTTCTAGAGTCTCAACATCTTTTTTATTAGTGTGTTGATCAAAATTGGATGCAATATTCTGGGTCTGGTCTTACTAAGAGTTTATAGAGTGGTATTAGTACCTCACATGATTGTTAGTACCTCATGTGTTAATGCAATTTAGGATTGCATTGGCTTTTTTGGCTGCCGCCACACACTGTTAGTTCATATTTAATTGGTTATCCACTTAAGACTCCAAGATCCCTCTCACAGTTACTGCTATTAAGCCTGGTTTCTCCCAATCTATATGTGTACTTTTGGTTATTTTTACCTAAGTGTAAGACTTTACTTTTCTCTACTGAATTTCATTTTGTTAGTTAGGGCCCATTGTTCAAGTCTGTCAAGATCCATCTTGATCTTGAGCCTATCATCTAGGGTATTAGCTATTCCTGCCAGCTTAGTATCATCTGCAAATCTGATAAGTTCCCCTTCTCTTCCCTAATCTAAATCATTTAAGAAGATATTGAAGAGTACTTGGCTTAAGACGGAACCTTCTAGTACCCCACTGCTCACTTCCCTCCATGTAGATGTAGAACCATTAAGGACTACTCGTTGATTTGTCTGGCTGACAAATTTGTCAGCCAGTTACAAATCCATCTGGTGGTGATGCTGTCTATCCCACTTTTTTTTTAGCTTACCAAGAAGTAAGTTGTGATCTACTTTGTCGAATGCCTTGCTGAAGTCTAACTAAACTATGTCCACAGCATTTTGCTAGTCTACTAATTTAGTCACCTTGTCAAAGAATGAAATAAGACTGGTTTGGCATGATTTGTTTTAATCAACGCGTGCTGATTAACTAAAGAAAGCTGGTTGCAAAAGTCAGTTGCAATAGTCAGATTTGCAACATTTTGTTTGGTATGGTGTATTCGGGCAAACTCGAGCACATCCTGCTTTTGGAAATACTGGGAAAGAAACAGAAAACAAAACAATTATTAACAGTAACAAAGAATTGATCGATAGTTGTTTCTGAACAAAATGCTAAACCCACATTGAACACAGTTTGAAAAGATTTATACCCAAATAAGTTTTATTCTTTATAACATTTCCAACTTTTCTTAAACATTAACATAGCCCACAATGGGATCTATGGCAATTCTTCACAGCCAGCTAGCCTGGCCATCTTGCTTTGGCCAACTCGCCACAGGACCACTCACTGCAGGACAAGAGTTACTGTACATTCATATCAAAGAAATGGTAGTATAAAATCATTATAGAAAAAATGCAAAAGGATGGACAGAATGAAATGTGAATGGCAAAAATATATATATTTATTTTAAATAATTAAATAGAACTGTTAAATTGTCCTGCAGCGAGTTTATCCATAGCGGGTTGACCATGGTGAGTTTGCCGTAGTAAATTGATGGTGGCAAGTTGCCCCATTCCATCCACAATGGGCTGAGAATCAGTGTCCCACTAGATAATTGACAGTCAAGCTGAAACTAAATTAATCAAGTAAAAATAGGTGATCTCCGATTCTCAGATGTATTTGGGAGCTCTAGTTTCTATTCAAGAAGAAAAACTGTGAGAAAGAAGAGGAACTTTTCTTACGGTCTTTTGGTCTCTCAGTATAACAGAACTTTTGTTCTTTCGTACATTTTATCTTGTGATCACAAAGAAATCTCCGACACTCGAAACATTTCAGGCTCTTAACTGCATGGAAGAAATAAAACAGAGCAATCTTACTTTGATATTTATTTCTTAGATCTCGTCTTACTATGCATTGGATAATAGATTGTTGAAGAAGAATAGCAAGCATTTCACTAGAAAGACAATTAAACAGTCTGCAAACAGGGACCCTCTAAGTTGCAGTCCCATCTTAGCCCAGAAAGTCATTTTGGTGCCTCTGGGCCAGTCAATCTTTCTTAACCCAACCCACTTCACTGGGTCATTGCTTGAGGAAGAAGGAATATGAGGTGTGTTCCCCACCTGGGTTTATTATTATTTATTATTTTATTATTTATTATTATTCAAATTTCTATACCGCCCTTCTCCTTTCGGACTCAGGGCAGTGAACAGCCAAAATAAAAACATCTATACATAACATTACAGTTAAAAAATAGAGTTAAAATAATTTATAAATTTGGCCCGTAATTTAAAACTTGTCAATTTAAAATCAATATTAAAATTTTAAAACTAACCCTAAAATCAAGACAGACCGGCTAATTGAAAAAAATAAGTTTTTAGGGCCCGACGAAAGGTCCGGAGGTCGGAGATCACTCGTATCTCTGGGGGTAGATTGTTCCATAGGGTAGGTGCCACCACAGAGAAGGCTCTCCTCCTGGGGGTCGCCAGCTGGCATTGTCTGGCCGACGGCACCCTGATGAGGCCCTCTCTGTGGAAGCGAACCGGCCGATGGGAGGCTATTGGTGGCAGAAGGTGGTCCCGTAAGTACCCTGGCCCTAAGCCATGGAGCGCTTTAAAGGTGGTCACCAACACCTTGAAGCGCACCCGGAAGTCCACCGGAAGCCAATGCAGCTCGCGCAGGAGAGGAGTCACATGGGAGCGCCCTGTCGCTCCCATAATCCCCCGCACGGCCGCATTCTGCACCAGTTGGAGCCTCCGGGTGTACCCCAAGGGGAGCCCCATGTAGAGAGTGTTACAATAGTCCAGACGAGAGGTGACAAGTGCTTGAGTGACCGTGCGTAGGGAGTCCCGGTCCAGAAAGGGGCGCAACTGGCGTATCAGGCGAACCTGACAAAAAGCCCCCCTGGCCACGGCTGTCATATGCCCTTCTAAGGACAGCCATGCATCCAGGAGGACACCCAAGTTGCGGGCCCTCTCTGTGGAGGCCAATGATTCACCCCCAATAACCAGCGATGGCATCAGCTGGCTATACCGGGACACCGGCAGCCACAGCCACTCTGTCTTAGAGGGGTTGAGTCGAAGCCTGTTTCTCCCCATCCAGACCCGCACGGCCTCCAGGCACTGGGACATCACTTCCAAGGCATCATTGGGATGGTCTGGGGTGGAAATGTACAGCTGAGTATCATCAGCGTACTGATGGAACTCCACCCCAAAACCACGGATGATCTCACCCAGCGGCTTCACATAAATGTTGAACAGGAGGGGTGAGAGGACTGACCCTTGTGGCACCCCACAAACAAGGCGCCTTGGGGTCGACCGCTGCCCCCCTGTCAACAGGGATTGCGACCGGTCGGAGAGATAGGAGGAGAACCACCGCAAAACAGTGCCCCCTACTCCCAGTCCCTCCAGCTGGCGCAACATGATACCATGGTCGATGGTGTCAAAAGCTGCTGAGAGATCTAATAGGACCAGGATAGAGGAATAACCCCTATCCCAGGCCCTCCAGAGATCATCCACCAATGCGACCAATGTCGTTTCCATGCTGTACCCAGGTCTGAAGCCAGACTGGAGTGGATCCAGATAGACAGCTTCATCCAGGTACTGGGGAAGCTGTCGCACCACCACACTCTCAACAACCTTCACAATAAAGCGAAGGTTGGAGACTGGACAATAGTTAGCCAAAACAGCCCGATCCAGGGATGGCTTCTTGAGGAGAGGCCTCACCACCGCCTCTTTCAAGGCGGCCGGCAGGACACCCTCACTCAAAGAAGCATTGATAATCCCCTGGAGCCAGCCTTGTGTAACCTCCCGGGAAGCCAGCACCAACCAGGAGGGACACGGGTCCAATAAACATGTGGTCGCGTTCAGCCGTCCCAAGATCCTGTCCACGTCCTCAGGAGCCACAGGATCGAACTCCTCCCAGATAACACTCTCAAGGCCTGCCTCAGTCATCTCATCTGAACTAACCCAGTCGGCGGCCAAGTCTTCCCGAATCTGAGTTATTTTATCATCCAGATACTGTACAAAATCCTCAGCTCGGCCCTGCAAGGGGTCCTCCCGCGCTCCCAGATGGAGAAGGGAGCGGGTCACCCTAAACAGGAAGGCTGGGCGGTTATCTGATGACGCAATAAGAGTGGCAAAATAGCTAGATTTCACTGCTTTTATCGCCACTAGGTAGGTCTTAATATGAGACCTTACCAGTGTCAAGTCAGATTCGGAACGACTGGCCCTCCAACCGCTCTCTAGGCATCTTTTCCGGTGCTTCATCTCCCTCAGCTCCTCGGAGAACCAAGGAGCTAAGTGAGTTCGGTGCCGGGTCAGAAGCCGCAAAGGTGCGACCCGGTCCAAAGCCCCGGCAGCTGCCCTATCCAAGGCGGCCACCAGGTCATCAGCCGAGTCATGAGCTAGAGTCTCAGGAAATGGCCCAAGCTCCATCTGGAACCTATCAGGGTCCATCAGGCGCCTGAGGCGGAACCACCTGGTCGGCTCCGCCTCCCTGTGACGGGGTACGGCATTCAGAAAGTCAAGTCGAAGGAGCGAGTGGTCAGACCATGACAAGGGTTCAATATCTACATCCCCTATATCAAGGCCACTCAACCACTGACCAGAGATAAAAACTAAGTCCAGAGTGTGTCCCCCCATATGAGTAGGGCCGTGAATTACTTGGGTCAAGTCCATGGCCGTCATGGAAGCCATGAACTCTCGAGCTACCTCAGAAGTTTCACCAATGGATGGCAGGTTGAAATCCCCCATGACCACAAGTCTGGGGGTATCAGCCGCCACCTCGGCTATAACATTGAGGAGTTTGGGCAGGGTCGTTGCCACGTGGTAGGGAGCCAGGTACGTGATCAACAGACCCATCTGCACCCCACGACCCCACTTCACAAAAAGGGACTCACATCCGGCTATCTGAGGCACAGTGGTCTCCCTCGGATCAAGACCTTCTCTTAGAATGACCGCCACCCCCCCGCCCCTGCCCTGAGCTCTCGACTGTGGAAATGCACGGAAGCCTGATGGGCACATCTCCACGAGGGGAACTCCCCCCTCATGGCCCAACCAGGTCTCCGTGATATCTGCCAGGTCCGCTCCCCCCTCCTGAATAAGATCTCAAATGAGGGGGGCTTTATTTATTACGGACCTGAAATAGGGAATTAAGATTTAAAAGAACATCTTTTCTTGAAGAGGCCGTAAAATGTCAGCAGATAAGAACTTGAGATTGGTCTCTGTTTGGAAGCTAAGCAGGGTTGGGGCTGGTTAATTCTTGGATGGGTGACTCCCAAGGCTGCAGGCTAGACTGAGGAGTCTCAGAAATGACAGCAATGGCCATTAATCTAAGGTTGCTGTCAAGGAAAATCCATGCTTGACTTGAAAGGAGTTTCTCTGATCCCCTTTGATTGTACCACCGAAAATGCTGAATGTCATCAAAGCCAGAGGGAGGCAGGTGGAGGACAAAGAAAAGGAACCATTTTTCCTCCCACTCCCAAGAGTCATGCATGGCAGAATTCACTAGGCAAAGGAACCTCTACTTTCAGAGGCAGTCTACCCCAGAATAACAGGTGGGTCAGCCGCTGTCCCAGCTATGAGTTTCTCTTCCAATTGAGAACTCCTCTTCCCTCCTAAAGGCTCCCATGGACCCTCCTTATGCAGAGCAGAAGAGTGAAAAAGTCCCACCACCAGAATGGAGCACAACGGCTTCAAATATCAAACTTCCCTCAGTCGGTCTTTGATCATCACCTGAAATCAAAGGTTCAGGATCCTACCTGGGTCCTTGCACATGAATGTGACCAACAACAAGGCAAATAGCAAAGCTTTCATCTTGCAATCTCCTCTCCAGCCTCCAAAGTGCCGTCCAGGATGGGAGAAGGCAGTTATATATACCTCTACCCCACCTTCTGGGGGCTGGAGATCCAGGTTCAAGAGTCAGTATAGGCATTTTGGGGAGTGTAAAGCTTTCTCAGATTCATTGGATAAGCTGAGGTTCGTGGCCAAGATGTTAGGCAGATAACAAGCAAGAGAACACTTTGCTTCAAAGGTTGGGTTCTGGATGTCCTTTATACGCTTGCGGTGTCCCTGCAGAGGTTTATTTCTTTATTTAGGGAATTTATATTGCCGCCTATTCACCCATGGCGACTCAAGGCAGCTTACAGAATGTAAAACCACATTTAAAACAATAAAAACTAACAAAAAGAATCAAATAAATGTACGATATAACAAAATCATCCATCACCTCCCACCCACCCCCCTTCTTGGTGACAGCAGATCACCTGAGCCATTTAATGGGCTCCATCCCACTCTGGGTTCCCCAGGCCCATTGGCAGAACCAGGTCTTCAGCGCCTTCTGGAAGAGTATCAGAGTGGGGGCCGTTCTAATCTCTGGGGGAATAACGTTCCAGAGAGAGGGAGCCACCACGGAGGAGGCCCTACTTCTGGGTCCCACCAGGTGTATCTTCCTTGGAAATGGGACCCGCAACATTCCCTGCGTCCCCGCACTGATGGGTCAGGTAGATTTGACCGGCAAGAGACGGTCCCTCAGATCACCTGGTCCCAAGCCTTGAAGGGCTTTAAAGGTGACAACCAGCATCTTGAATTGCACCTGGAAGCAAATTGGCAACCAATGCAGCTCCTGCCAGAGTGGAGATACATGTGCGCACCGGGATCTGCAGAAAACCATGTGGGCCATTGCATTTTACACCAACTGGAGCTTCTGGATGCTCTTCAAGGGCAGCTCCATGTAGAGCGCATTGCAATAGACAAGATGGGAAATGACAAGGGCATGAGTGACTGTGAGTAGGGAATGTTATATCCTAAACCAATCAGACTGGAATGATTCACTTTAGTAGAAAAAGATGCATCTGAATCAATCAATCAAAAAGAGCCTGGTTGCGCAGCAGACTAATAGCCTGTTATTAACATTCAGCTGCCTACAATTACTGCAAGTTCGAATCTCGCCAGCCTCAAGGTTGACTCAGCCTTCCATCCTTTCTAAGGTAGGTAAATTGAGGACCCAGTTTGTGGGGGCAATAAGCTGACTTTGTATAAAATATACAAAAGTATGAAGGCTATTGCTTAACGCATTGTAAGCGCCCTGAGTCTCTGGAGAAAGGCGGCATATAAATCTAATTAAAAAAAAAAAATCCAATATTTGGCTGCTGTTCCAAAGTGGCTCTTGCTTTTTCCAGCTCTTTTCAAGCAAGACTGACAGCTGTTTCTAATTTTTCAGCAGTTTCATATGTCAACTATTCTCTGGACCAGGTGAGCATTGCCCAAGAAGTAATTTCACATCTGCACTTTAATTTAATTTAATTTTAATTTTTATTGCATTTTTATACCGCCCTTCTTCCAAAGGACTCAGGGCGGTGTACAGCCATAATAAAACAGTAGCAACACAAAAATTAAAAACCAATTAAAATAATTCAATCATTTGGCCATAATTAAAACCCCAAAACTAAAACCCATTTAAAAACCCATTTAAAATCATTGTTCTGTCAGACCGGCTTGATGAAATAGTAGGGCCTTCAGAGAACGACGGAAGGCGCGGAGGTCAGGGATCCTTCATATATCCGGGGGCAGTTCGTTCCATAGGGCAGGGGCTCCCACAGAGAAGACTCTCCCCCTGGGGGTCACCAGTCGACATTGTTTGGCCGACGGCACCCTGAGGAGGCCCTCTCTGTGAGAGTGTATCGGTCGGTGGGAGGCAATCGGTGGCAGAAGGTGGTCCTGCAGATATCCAGGTCCTAAGGCATGGAGCGCTTTGAAGGTGGTGACCAATACCTTGAAACGCACCTGGAAGACCACTGGGAGCCAGTGTAGCTCACGCAAGAGAGGTGTTACATGGGAGCGACGTGTCACCCCCATAATCACTCGCGCGGCCGCATTCTGGACCAGTTGGAGCCTCCGGGTGCTCCTCAAGGGGAGCCCCATGTAGAGAGCATTACAGTAGTCCAGATGGGAAGTGAGGAGGGCATGAGTGACCGTGCACAAGGCATCCTGATCCAGAAAGGGATGCAACTAGGAAATCAGGCGAACCTGATAAAAAGCCCCCCTGGCCACGGTTGTCATATGATCGTCTAAAGACAGCCATGTGTCCAGGAGGATGCCCAAGTTGCGAGCCCTCTCTGAGGGGGGCAAGATCTCATCCCCAATAGCCAGCAATGGAAGCAGCTGGCTATACCGGGGCGCCGGAAACCACAGCCACTTGGTCTTGGAGGGGTTGAATTTGAGCCTGTTTCTCCCCATCCAGATCCACACGGCCTCCAGGCATTGGGACATCACGTCAAGGGCATCATTGGGGTGGTCCAATGAGGAGACTTTTGTTCTGTCCTCATACCACGCACACACCCAACCAGCCAGCCGAGGGTTAAATAAACTCTTCAAACACTCAACGTCAATGATAAGGAACTTGGCAGCAACTCCGTGGCTGCCTGCCAAGAGCTTTTACTCTGATAACACAGACAAAAATACACACAGTTTGAATAGTTCAGTTTGTAATTAAATCCACAGCAAATAGGCGTTGTGTCCAAAGGTGCAAAGTGACTCGCCAGAGATTAGCTTTATCTATCACAGAGTCCGAATGGCCACCACACTCCCTTTTATAGGCTGTGGGGTGTGGTCCAGTGACTCAGCTTAATCTCTGGCACGCCTCCTTTTCTGCTGCGCACGCTTGTCTCTCCGATGCTGTCGTGGGTCCAACCACAATGTTTCTTCGTCACTATCCGATGGCTCGGAAACACCTGGCTCCTGGCCAATCTCTTCTCCTTCGGGAGACACCTGAGGCATTGCCAGAGAGGAGGGTCCTGGAGAGGGAGGCCTGGCCGTCTCCTCTCCTTCATGTTCGGAGCCTTCTTCCTCCGATAAGAGGATGGAGCCACAACAACTTTCCCAGGATGCAACAAGAGCAGATTTTAGATTTGCAGAGATTAGATTGGCTTTGTGTTTTTTATTTTTATTTTTATACAAAGCCCAAACTCCACCAATTGAGAACCAACTGAGAACCTGCTGTCAAGCTTCCAAGTAATAAGTCCCCAGAATGAATAATCCAAGCCTGTCATATTCAATCAAAGTCCGTTTATTAGGAACATATCAAATTGGCAAGGTCTTGGTGTAATTCTGGCTCTGACTGTTAGATATTGAATAGACGGGCACAGGAACCAATTAGGAGCCCATAGCTAGAGCGGGAAAATCAAGCGCGCGTCAGTGGCTGAAACCGCAGACAGCTCCCATTTAAAAAGAGCTGCTGTGGCTCGCATCAGCATTGCTGTTACTGGAGATGAATAAACCTGTTGACTTTGCCGGATGTGACCTGTGTCCTTTGTCTGAACCCACTATTCAACACTGGTGACAAAGGTGGGCTCTTCGGAAGGACAATAGGCACGAGGCTGAACAGACACTCCACGTGGCAATCGACGGCCATCGAACTCAACAACCGGCCAGCACAAGATGTCTTCGATAATTACATCCATGCCATTCAACCCAGCGGGAGAAGACTAGGATTCCTACATGGAATGTTTCCACATGTTCCTGGAAGCCAACAACCTCTTGGGCCTTTCTGAACAAAGGAAAAGAGCACTATTCCTCACAAACTGCGGAGCCACCATTTTTTAAATCGCAAAAGCCCAAGCCTCACCAGTGGAATTGAGAACCATGACCTGGCCAGCATTACAAAGAATCCTCAGGGCACTCTGCACTTCCCAAGCATCATCCCTCAGGAGATGACACGAATTCTACTGGAGAGACCAACGGGAAGGAGAATCCATCAGCGAGTTTGTTGCAACCCTGCGTGAAATAGCCACCACCTGTGACTTCTCCAACCTGGACGAAGCGATGAGAGACCGATTCATATTGGGACTGCGAGACCTCACCCTACAAAGCCAATTGCTTGTGAAACCAAGAATAACGTTCCAAGAAGCCACGGAAGAAGTGACAGCGACCAAAGCATCACAAACATCCGCAGCCATGATGAAAAAAAATGAATAACCCACCACAAGCAAAGGAAGACACTACCGTCCACTATGAGGACGCTGAGACAGAATCAGAGGACGGAGACGAGGACGAAGTAATCATCTCCATTCGGAAGAGAAAGGGAGAACACAAGAAAAAGGGGAAAAAAAGACTTCTGGTGTGCTGGATGTGAGGAAAACCATCCCAGGACCGAGTGCAAATTCCGAGATGCCATCTGCCAGCGCTGCAACCAAAAAGGACACATCGCAAGAGCCTGCAGGGTATCATAACCAGTTTCCCGCAGATCCAGACAATCCAGCCCTCCGCAACATTCCAAGAAGCCATGGAAGAAGCAACGGCTATTTCTCTTTTCTACAATGTGGAAAACCTACAAGGGTATTGTATACATGCCTTATGTGGTTTTATGTATATAAAGAAGTTTTGAATCCTGCAGAATTTTCTGATCATGTGTGCTGCAACAAACTCAGACAACCTTCCCTAGGTTCTTCATTAGATAAGAATACAGTGACATCACTTCTCTGTTCTTCCCAGTTGTTCCACTTGGTAGGCCAACAATTGCAATAAGGAAACATTTTCTTTTGTATATTTTTAATGTAGACCTGCCCGTTCTTCATTAGGCAAGGTCAACTGAAACGGAAATAATCTATGTTTATTTACCTGCTAAAGTACAATGTGAAATATTTCCATTTAACCAATGAAGTTATGCCACCTTTCTGTTTTTCTCAACTATCACTGTTGTACATCAGCAATAATGGCAGCAAGGAAAGGTAAAAGTAAAGGGCCTAGAGCAGTGATGGCTAACCTTTTTGCCATCGCGTGCCAGGAGCGGGGGGGCGCATGCGTGCCCA